GGAACACTATATTAAAGGGTCGCCACAACATGGGGAACACTGTATTAAAGGGTCGCCAGAACATGAGGAGCTGTATTAAAGGGTCGCGACGTCAGGAAGGTTGAGAGCCATTGCCTTAGACCACGGACTTTCGGCTAAAATGAAGGAAGCATGGCAGAATGTTAAGCTTCGAAGTTATTTTTGCTTCTAACAGCGCTGTGCTAATGCAGTTTCCTTATTTGGACAGTAGCGTACGGTTTCGCTGCCTGAGCTACTGGGCTTAGTGCTTGGTGCAGCCCTGTGAGCTATGTTTTTCCTGTCATTTGTGCAGCGGTTGTGTAGTGGTATCTAATATGACCGGTAGCCGGTTTACGTGTGAGCTGGTGAAAACCTTATGTGATAATTCTACGTGTGTATAGCCAACTTATCGTGCCCGACTACTTCCATCAATGACAAACTGCGTTTCTAGTGGCTACTGTTGTCTCTGGCGCCTCTAGTAACTGCAGTATGCATTTACTGCGCGCGCATATTTCTGGATCGTTCCGGGACTATTTGTTTCAGGGCTGCCAATGATGGGTTTTTACCCCAGATCTGGGTTTTTATTTGACGCCTTGGGTTAAGATTTTGGAATCTTGGGTTATTTACAAAATATATCCTTATATAAAAGTGGGTAAATATTTCGTTTCGAAACTATAAAATTTGTGCTTTTCATCAATCTTGGGTTTTTGTTTTGTTGATTGGCTTCTGTATTGCTGGGTTCTTTTTTGGACAGCTTAGCTTGGGATCTGATAAAAATCCCATTGGCAGCCCTGATTTGTTCATTCACCAGTTTTTTTTTTTTTTTAGATGGGACAGCGAGGGACATTTCATTGGATTTTCACTGGGCAAGTATGGGGAAACCCGACTAAAGTGAAGCTGAAACCTCGACCAAGACCAAGACCACTATTACCCTGTAGCTAACCTTTATCGTGGAGAAGCTTCTTGCGGCTCTGTGGCTTAGAAGTTAGTGAACCCATTTCAGTCACAATCCATGGCATACCATTTTTAGATTTCCTCGGCTGTTGTTTGGAAACAGACCGGTCTCGTGGCTTTCGGTCAGTTGGACAAGAGAATGGATTGCGGCCTCACTACATAATTGTTTCTAAAGCCAGCAGTAAGTGCACTGCAGTCAATCGTCAGTGTGGATACAGCATTAGAAGAAAAAAAAAAGAATGAAAAAGAAAGAAAGAAAGAAAGACAGACAGAAGGACAGAAAGAAAGAAAGAAAGAAAGAAAGAAAGAAAGAAAGAAAGAAAGAAAGAAAGAAAGAAAGAAAGAAAGAAAGAAAGAAAGAAAGAAAGAAAGAAAGAAAGAAAGAAAGAAAGAAAGAAAGAAAGAAAGAAAGAAAGAAAGAAAGAAAGAAAGAAGGAAGCCAGCCAGCCAGCCAGCCAGACAGAATGACAGACAGAATGACAGACAGAATGACAGACAGAATGACAGACAGAATGACAGAAAGAATGACAGACAGAATGACAGACAGAATGACAGACAGAATGACAGACAGAAAGAAAGAAAGAAAGAAAGAAAGAAAGAAAGAAAGAAAGAAAGAAAGAAAGAAAGAAAGAAAGAAAGAAAGAAAGAAAGAAAGAAAGAAAGAAAGAAAGAAAGAAAGAAAGAAAGAAAGAAAGAAAGAAAGAAAGAAAGAAAGAGAAATAACACGAAAACAACTTTTCCAGCATGTTTTTCCAATACAGTACAATTAATAGATCTTTTAGTACATGATCTGTGGTAGGGTTTTCCCAAACATGTTGCTTCCACATTAAAATTATTCGCCTGTGATAGGTTCTGAAACAACCTACAAGATCTCTCTTAAGTTTCTTGGAAAACCTCGACCGAATAAGCTCACTGGGAGCCGCTGTGCCCTGGTTTAGACACTCGCCTGCGGATCGGAAGCAGGGCTGCCAAAGGTATTTTTTTTTTTGTGTGGAAAAACCCAGCTTTGCTTAACAAAAACCCAAGCAATACATAGACAAAGAATATAAAAATGCAGATTGTTAAAATGTACACAATTTATATTTTCGAAACGAAACATTTACCACTTTTATATAAGGATATATTAAAAAAGAAAAAAAAGATTTCCCCCCAGGCGTCAAATAAAAAACCCAGATCTGGGGGGGGGGGGGGGGGGGGGGGGGGACCCAGCATTGGGAGCCCTGATCGGAAGGTCATGGATTGTGGTCCTGACGGACATTTTTTTTGGTTCAAAAATGACCTTTGCTTCAAGGTCGACCCAGCCTCGAATGGGTAGCAGATGGAGTCCTGGTAAGTAAAGGCGGTCGGCGTGCTACTGACCACATCGCCCACCAAATTTCGATTGGTCTATAAAGTATAGGTCTAGCCCTATATGCCCAGTACGATCGAAGACGGGGAAAGGGTCTTTTACTTTTACTTGTACAAAAGCTCACTGCTTCACATCTGCCTTTCCTTTTATTCACATGGCGAAGTGATCACTCCATTTGCCTGGCGCTTTGAGGGTCGTGGTTTCGTTTCAAAGACTGTCGTTCGGTTTCCGAGAGCAGTTTGTACTGAGGTCACCGGAGATCTTCGCTGCAGCTACAAGTTCGTATTTTGTGTACGACGCTCTCGGCCCGTGGATACTCTGTGTGGGGAGAGATACCGAGCCATACGTGGGGAAATAAAACTCAGTGCAAGAAAGTCGATCCTCTTAACTTTACACTTGAAACATAAGACGCTGTCTAGACTTTGTCGACACTGCAACCTCAGCGACCTTCGCTTCGTGTCAGAAATGTTGCATATATTGCAATGTACAATGTTTACAATAGTTTAAACAATCATTTTCCCGAGATGACGTTTTCGGTTTTCTTTCTCTTGCTTTCCCCACTTATTTAAGACGAATTAACAGTGCGTTGTGGATTTTCTACCAAGTTTATTGTGGCTTTAAAAAAATATTAGTAGAGCATATCAAATGTCTTTAAATCTCTCTGTCTATCTGGCAGTCTGTCTGTTTGGCTGTCTATCCATCCATCCATCTATCCATCCATCCATCCACCTTATTCTAATCTTTCTGTAAAAGTCTCTGTAAAAGTATTTATGTCTGTCTGCGCATGACCGTCTCTAGACCATCCTACAAATGGTCATGGTCTGTCCATCTTTCTGTCTGTGTATCGATTTGCCCTTAAAAGGGCGGCTGACGCATTGTGTTGGGGTTTACAGCTAGGCTGCGATAGTTTTACATTTAGGTGCCCAGGGGTATCTTCCCTCCCCCTTCCCCAAATAGGGCCGCTGGGGGCAGTGTGGACGATAGTCAACAAATGTTGGAATGGGGTCGGGTTGTGACGTTCTCTTTCATGAAATGCAACTAACTCATTATATTTTCCTGCAGGTGAGAGATAAAAAAGCCAGGTACGACTTTTACAAATCTGTTCCCTTAGTGGCCAACGCCTGAAAACAGATTAACACTAGCATGGGAGGAAAAAGCAGCAAGCAGAAAATCAGAAAGAGCAAAGCAGCCAAAGGAGAACAAACTCAGAACTCAAAAGAGCAAAAGGAGAGCACTGAAAATGGAGCAGCAGCGACATACAGGCCATTACAAAATGAGACAGCAACAGAAGAATCTGAAGTTAAAGATGTTACAAAGGATGCTGCTAAGGTACTGACAAATTCATTTTACAGTGTATTCACTAGTTGATTGGTGTGACTATTTCTATATTCAGTTGTTCTTTGTTATCTTTGAACTCATCACTTTATATAGCTTCATTACCTATGTATGGACGACTGGGTATATCTAAAATTGTATGTTACTTCTGTGCCACACAAGTTTTGTTTTAGGAGAATTGTCAATTGTGCTGTTGTTGTTGACTGGCAACCTCATTTTTTCAGCTGACTTCAACTGTGAGGGCTTCCAGTGTGTGTGTGTGTGGGAGGGGGGTAGGCAGGGGGTTCCCACTGCCCCCCCCCAACAAGCATTGTGTGAAGGTCGACTAATTAGAAGTGTTTCTTTTAAAGTCAGCGTAAATCTGCATGAGAAGCGAGGAACCAATAGTCTGCATACAAATACAACAGATCTACAATGTTACGCAAAACTCGAGTTTTGGAACATGAAGTCCAGAAGTGGTCCAACAATCAGAACTTTCTGCCGGAGTTTACAGCCAGTGACACAGCAGAAGAAAAAGAATAAGAATAGGAAGAAGAATTGTGAGGGCTTTAAATTTGCTCTAATCAATTGTTTTCTACATTTTTAATGTTACCTCTTCTTCTTCATTGACGATTAAAGGGACAGTTTGTAAGAGGTGTTGTTGTTTACAGCTAGGCCGCACATATATGTCTTTCGACAAAACACATCTGATTTAAGTGAACCTTTAATTATTCATCTTTTACAGCATATTTGTGTTAAGGGACATGCCCTTCCCCCCTCCCATCACGATGGGGGTAATATAACCCACACAAGGGATGGTACGTTATTGTTAACCTTATATTTTTGTTTCTTCTTTGCAAAGAGTTCTGATTCCAATGGTACCAGTAACCATCTGATTGTATATCCGTCTCACTTTTCCCTGAGTTTTGAGGGTCGGCTAGATCCCCTGGTAACTCCTCAGACCGTAATGATCTCTCTGTGCCTCTGCACCATTCACTCACTCCCAAAGGGCCCTCACAACATCCATCGTGTCAAACATCAATTCACAACCAAGTGGTGCAGAACCGGCCAGTCTATCTGCCTGCTCATTTCTCAGTATGCATAAACAGGAGAAAATATCAAAAGGATAGTTGCCCACACACCATGCTGGTAGTTGCTTTTCCTCCACTGAACCATAGAAAGAATCATCTGCACAATCCACAGAGTCCATTGTTTACTTGCAGGGTATAAGTTCTTACAACATTTCTGTTGTTGGCACATCTGTTTCATATTTAAATGCTTTTTTTGCTTTAACTAACCGATGCACTTCTACTGTCTGTACGATTTGCATTGTGATTTTATTTTTTTCAAATGTTAGTTTGTGTATGTATATAAATCTTTTCCCTAGAATGAAGACATCTCTGATCTAGTACAACAGGCATCAGAAGAAAGCCCTTTGAGGAATATTACCACAGCAGAATCTGTGGCAGTATCTTCTGAAAGAACACCAATAGAAGCTCAAACAAAGGATGACACAAATTCTCCAAAGTCTGAAGAAGAAAACAAAACTGAAAGTCCGGTAGACGATTCAGCTAAAGAAACGAAGGCAGAAGCAGAAAATTTAGTCAGTAGAGAAGCAAATGAGGAGTTGAAATCAGAATGTTCAGAGAATGTGTGTTTCCAGGAGCTGGGCACTGACAAAGATGGAGGTGATACAGATGTCAATGCTGTTCACGAGGAAGAGCTTAATAAAAGCAGTCAGAAGGTAAGGACAATTGCAGACTCTTAACATATTTGACCGCCTTTTATTGATATTCACTAATTTCAACACATTGCAAAAAATCTTCTGATGTATATCCACTTCTTCTTCTTCTTTTGTCGTCTTACTGATACCAGGTTGTAGCGGAGTGTCGTGGTTTTTGTGTGTTTGTCTTGCGCTTCTCGGGTGACTTAAATGGTGGATTTGTTCATCTTTTTGCAGGTTTCAGCTGAACCATTCATTTGTGTCTTTCTTGGTCTTCCATACTCCTTCCTCCCAGATGTTCTACTGTAAAAAAGTTGCATATACAGTCTGGTCTGGCCGCATTCTCACTAGACGGCTGAACCATTTCATTCTTTGCCTGTCAGTATAAGCGAAACATGGTCTTATTCCTACTTTTTCTCTAATGATGGTATTCGTAACCTTGTCTCATGTAGTGTTGTCAGTGACTTTGCGGAGCAGAGCAATTTATCTGTAGTTATTTTCTGTTCTAGTGCCTTATTCATGAAATGAATGAATAAATCTCCACCACCTTTCAGTATTCTCTGCATTTGTCCAGCCTGCCTGATTTGATATAATCACAGCTTTTCATTAATCTAACCATTTATGTGATTTTAAAAAAATATATACATATACTATCTTTTATTAATCAAAATGTTCATCTTTATCATAATTTAAGCTTCTAAATATATATTTTTTTTCAACTATGAGAAAAGAAATAACAAGAAATAGAAATACTTTATAAAACTGTAGAGAAATGAACACTAAGTACAAATTATCACCTCCAAAAGATAATTTATAAATATATAGTCAATAAATAATTTTTTTTGGGTTCAACTAGACTGAGGCAAGAGAAGGAGAAAGCATTCCTGCGCCATCATCACAACCACTAGAAGCTGGAGATGCAACTAGTATGGCTGCAGATATAGAGGAGACAACCCTCCAAGAGAAGGTTGTGTTGTAGTGCCTATATATTGATGTCAAATGATCTTGCACGTTCATCTCCCCAAAGTCTTCTGGGTGATTTTTGTTCTCATTCTTCTGATATTTTAATTCCAGTAGAGCACAGGTCTTAACTCAACTAACACCAAACCCTTTGCAGACTAGTTCACAGTTAGTTGGCTTTTTTTTCCCCCAGCTAAACTATTCTTCAGGAAAAGGTCAGGTATCTAATTGCATGCCAGCCCTCCTTAGTTGCTTCTCACAACATGCATAGTAGGTTACAGCGTGAATCGTTTTGCCCTGTAAAAATCTTTACAAAATGACCTTTTTTTAAATTGCGTTTGTTATTTTCACAAAAAAAAACATTTTTAGGATTTTCCAAAACTCTACTCTGAGAAACTGGAAAAGAAGCAGCAGCAGAAAAAATCCAAAGTTTTGGTAGCTTTTATAAATAGCCAGGGGGTCAAACTCCTAGAACACTGAATAGACAGGCAGGTGTGAAGTCCTCTTATGATGTCACATCACACACACACACACAATTTCTGGTCACTAGGTGTATAAATAGGGAACAGTTCAATTCCCCATAAAGCAATTATTCCTTACTTACGTCCTTTTCAGGACGTAATTTTTTCTTATTTGAAGCCCCACTCTGGCTTTTGCCAGGGGCCGCAATATAGGCAAGCCATCAATATGGCCAATTGTCTGAACGCGGTTTCTGGGACCTCTCCACGGTGATCCTCATCCGCATGGTGGCACTTTGTGTCATCGGGTATTTATCGCTTGTGTGATGTCCTAGTGGGGTAGAAAGTCAGTCAGTCAACCGTTTCCACATAAAGGGAGTTAATCACTAAATGCAAATGAAGCAAAGATTTAACAGATTTCCTTCCCTTTGACTGTTTAGAAGTGGTTTTTGGTAACTTCGCCACAGATAGCACTAAAAAAATTAAATGATGTCACTGTGACATCACAGTAAAAAAAAATATATTATTTGTAACCCCAAATACAATTTTAATGTTTTTTTAAAAAAAAAGGGGGGGGGGGGGGCGGGGGGTTAAAAATAATCGTACCCATCATGCCTACATACCATGCAGTTGCTGCAGTAGCAAGTACGCCATACAAGTGTATTGGGCACTGTCAAAGACATCATGTCAACCCAAACCCATGAAAGTTAGGAAAACGGCTGACCCGGGTGTGAAGGGTTCATACACTGTGTATTCTTTGCCTCCCCTGTGGACCCTAGTCAACTATTTGTGTAAAGCAAAGCAAGTTGCTCTTATTAGGGAAGTGGGGGGGGGGGGGGGGGGGGCAGTGGCTTAGAGGTTACAATACTGTTTTATGATCCAGACTATATTTTCACAAAATAAAATAAAAAAGGATAGACAACTCCCATCCTATGGTGCTTGATCAAACGTCTAGAATTCTTGAATGTGGACTAAAATTATCAAGCTTTGTGTGCATATGTAAAACAAATTTCAGCACTTAGAAATCTAAAACAGCAGACCAGATAGTTTCCAAAATGAAATCTACCCATAAAATGCACACCTATAATGTGTGCAATTCCTGTATGTCCGCCTGTGGATTGTTGCCACAGCTGCGGAGTCTGTACATTGTGTGGTGACTGGCTTTGTTTTGTCGAGGGCAGAGAACTGAAGCACTAATAGAAATATCCATGCTGAACATTGAACAGTTATTAAATTGGCAAACCGATCTCTTGAAACCTCAGAGATGTGGTTTTGGAGAAGAATCATGAACTTTTATTGGCAGTAAAAAATGAGTGGTTTAAATGTTTTGAAAGGGACTGAGGCGTAATAACAACTTAACAACAAATGCCAGAAACAGAGTGTGATACATTTTGTTAGGGGCACATTATGAAAATGGAAAGACTAAAACTTGTGATAATATAAACTATTTTTAAGAAAAGAGAAAAAGGAAAGCAAAGAGATAGATTGTTTGCCTTTTGAAATGGTATAGAGATGGAGGACACAACATGAAATGATACTTGCTGTGGAAGATCTCACAATATGCGGAGAAACGTGATCATTGCATGCTTGTCAACATGACACTTAATGGATGACATGCTTCAGCATGTTTCAGCATCTGTGCTTTGTAAGAGTAAAAATGTGAAGGCTGTCAAGACTTGGTTACATCCTAGGTCATAAGGCAGTGAAAAGATTTTTACAGGACAAATTACTGAGGGGGAAAAAGGAAGAGGTAGATGAAGAATAAAATTTATAGAACAAGCATGCACAGATCTGTTCATTCAGACATCTATAGAACTAAAGAGTAGCAGATGATAGACAAATACAGAGAAATAAAAATCAGGAAGCTCTCTTCATAACTATTTCAAAATCTTAAATACTTAATATGACCATGTTTATATTTTTGTGACTGTACTGTTACTATTTCTTTTCTAATAGCTATTTTAACTGTAATGTGAACAATTATTTTGGTTATTTTAACCTTAATATCACTGGTATAAGATATTTTAAACTGTAATGTTATCATTTTTTCTTCCATTTTTTTTCTTCTTGAGTATTTTAATTGTAATGACATTTCTTATATGTATAATGTTATGGTTTGTCAGTTTTTAAATAACTTAATGATTTTCATTTATTTTAATTGTAATGCTAACTTCCTTAAAAGTTAGTTTAACAATAATATTGTTTCTGTGTATGTTATGAACTTGTTTTTCCTTGACTTGTTTTTGACAGCTTGTTAAGTGTGATCTAGATGGACAGGAGGAAAATATCCTAATGGTTCAGCCTGCCAATTATTATGTCCCCAATATGCAACAATGTACAACAGACTCTACGCATGACTATTAGAAACAAGAGATTGTATTTTAATATAAGTAACAATATTCAGTTAATCATTTAACAATATTAATGCTGATTTTAATATTATCAAGTTCTATGTATAGATTATATTGCAACATATATTATTATTTTCTTTGATGTACATAACCGTACTTTTATCTGAAATTGTATCACTGTTATATCACTAAAGGAACAGATTTTAACTAAATATATTTTACTGAAATAATGAGAGTGAAATAATTTTTTTCCTGTGATATATTTCAAGAATAAATTTATGTCATCTCTACATAATCACAGTGTACTGGCTAGATGCTAGCCTGCCAACCCAATGATTTTGAATTCAGATCCAAATCTAGTTGGACTGACACATCCCATAGGCATGATTAAGCATTTAACTTTTTTTCAGTACCAAAGCATGCATCACGAATTGATTAATATTTACGAGGGGAAATCAATAAGTAAGTCACAAATAGTTATGAGATGGCAGGAAACTATATAGTTGATGGTATCTAAAGATGTCATTAAGTGACAGCAACATCGAACTTTATGTCTCCGTTGTTTAGGTAGTGCTAGGTGTTGCATGCACTACATGACAGTGGTGCACTTTATTGTTTTCCAAGTCATTAAGGGAGCTTTGGTTTATAACCATTATTTTGCTTATGGATTGATACAGAAATTTACAGTGACAAAACTACTGTTTGAAAAAAAAATGTTTTTTAAGATCTTTCTGACAATTTTGAATACATTGCTATATTTTAAAGCTAACTTACAGAAATATTGAGTTTTGCTTTTTTCTTGTAATGTTTTTATTATTGCCACGAGGTCATGTTGAGGGGAATAAATACCCAAGGGGCATTAACAGCAAGCTTTTGCTGGTATTACCATCAAATCTCATGAACATGTTCTGCACTTGACACTTTTTTCAGCAGTTTGTGAAAAGAGAGACAAGAGGAGATGACAAGAAATTGGTGAGAGAAGAAGGCATGTGATGAGAGGTTTTTGCAGATGCTTGAGGCTCGGAGGAAAGGCAGGACATACGTTTAATCAAAATGCTACTGGCACCATTAGTATCAGAACTCTTAGCTAGCTGCTGAAGATGGAGATGGAGCGCTTATGGGAATGCCCCAAGTGCCGTGATGTCGGTTCTTGAATCAATGCAAGACTCCATACTATGCACCATGGGTCTAAACTGAACTGACAGGAGATATCCTTGCACCTAGAGCTGTGTCTAGAAATCACCCGGGAAAAATGCCTGTGCACTCCACAGTCGCAGAAACTCATTTAAAATAAAAGTGCTCAAGTCTAGTAGTCTTGATTTGATGTTACTCTACCCCCATGTGGGACTAAATTTTTCCTCATTTTAAAGCCCCACCCCGGCCTCGGGCCCTAATATAAATAAACCTGAACAGGGTTTCTGAGACCTGTCCCCGGGTGATCCTTATTCATGTGGTGGCACTTTGTGTCAGTGGGTGTTTATCGCTCATTGTGACGTTGAAGGTTAATCAGTCAGCCTTGATTTGAACTAATCAACAACTTTTTTCCTCAAGTTTCCACTATCTGAGAATCTTACTAAATGGACATTTCAATTCAAGCATCCATGGCAAGAAACCTACTGAATGGCCAAAAAAATGTCTGTTACCATAGGCAATATTATAGGAATGTCAGGACCACACTAGCAAGACTTCCTCATAAATTCATCCCAAAATAAACAAAAAGATACTATCTGTTCATATACTTCAGCATGACTGCACTGAGGCATCTATGCAGAACACATCGTGGTGGTAACAATATGGAATAAAGTTGGACACGTAGGTCCACTATAAAGAAAGTGCTACATGCTGGGGCTTAGACCTGATCTGAGATTCTGGTGATAGCAAACCATGACAACCCCACACTTATTGGCATGGCACATGATGATGATGATGATTCTGATAAAACCATAATGGATGACTTTGATAATTACTTATGATTTATAATAAAGATTCAACAACACTGAACTTCAGATAACTCCACTAGTCCCCGAGTTAGAGGACATCGATATTGACCATCCCAGCAGTGATCGTCTTTTTCTGCATTTGACTTAAAAGTGAGGTTGGTACGTTGTGTTGTGGTTTACAGCTAAGCTGCAATATCTGTGTCGTTCCACCTAACACATCTAGATTCCGACAAACACCCACGCTAGTAAAGTGGCAGTGGGCTGGTTCTT